GGCACCGTGCCGGGTGCGAACGCCAAGTCTTGACCCCTCGACTCCGCAGCCATGCGGACCTGCTCCCCAGCAGCCCGGGACATGACTGTGTTAGTTGAACCAGAGTCTATAAGAGCCTCACAGTCTCTCACCCCCGCCATAGTCACCAGAACGTGAGGTTTCCCTGAATCCCCCCGTCTGACGTTATCGCCAAGGACAATGTCCGAGTCGTCTAACCGACATTCGGAAACGATAGGCTGGTGTCGTTCGGTAGGCCAGGTCACCCGGCCTACGAGTGTCACCTCACGAGCGCTGATAGTATTAACCACCCCACGAGTCACCGACGCCGCAGGTGCCGGCGGATCACTCATCGTGGTGGGCCTCACGTCTACCGCCCTGGCCCCAGCCGCCGATTCACAGTGTGGTTTTCGAAACCCTTCTTGCTGTCGCACACATGACCGCCTTTGGTGTCGTGTCAGTCCGCATCTGGCGAAGGAGTTTCTTCACCATCCGACGCTCCTCTGCGGTGGCACCCTCAGACTCACGGTCCCGCCCTCTGGCGGGGCTGTGACTCCCGTGTGACGCATACGGGGAGCTCGCCCTCAGAGGCGTGCGACCCCCGTCCGGGTGAGGCGACGCCTTCCTGTAGGGCCTCGGAGAACCCCCCTTTTTCTCGAAAGAAACACGGCGGTTAACACGTCCCGGCCGCGGTGACTTAGGGGCCCCCCCGCGAGCAGGCGGTGGGGTCCGGGGTCTCTCCGGGTCCCGTCGCTTGTTGACTGATAGATATTGTTTGTCATCAGTATGCTGCCCCCCTTTTTCCGAGGTCCAGCTTTAAACCCTTTTGGCTTGCGATCCCTATACTCAGCACTCTCTAGTTGCAGCGCGTCTCTGTCTCCTAACGCCATAACTGATGGATTGTTTGATCCTTTCCCGGTTTTACCGAACCCCACGAAGGCGCAGCTCACCATGCGTCTGAGCTCTCTCATGGGCGTGGTGTCTGAATCCACCGTACCCATGTATGAGCTGTAGTGGACATGCTGATTTTCGAGGAATAAAGCCTTAAAACCTTTATCTTCCTCCATCCCATCCTTGCATTCCGTACCAAAGTACGCGTTGAATAGACGTTGATAATAGAACTGTGGGTCCTCAGCACGACCCTGTTTGACTGATAAGGCTAACTGTAAGCCAGGCCGTTGTGTGTTGTAGGTGAACTCTTGCTGAACCACCTGTTCTAGCTTTTCGTAGTCGTCCCCAATGTCGTTACGCTTGCGATCAATGAGCGAACCCACGCCATCGGAGCTCAGTCTTATCACAAAGATCCTGTCCTCCATGGACATTTCCCGGACACCGCCTAAAGTGGTGCCGGAGGTCGCTCAGGTACGCATCAACCGGGTACGATGTATCCGGCTTAGGGCTGAACTTCTTTATGCTCCGAGACATCCTGTAGATGTCCGGTTGAGGATAACCACGGTACATGTCGGGTGGAGGTGGTCCATATGGGCTAGGTGGCACCGGATGATGGCCCTGACTTCTGCCAACCCCATCGGATGCGCTCCCACCCGCCGGTGGAGCAGCATCCACAACGTGATGGGTCGGATGTGATGGTTGTGATGTCCGAGAGGTCGAAGGCCGTTCGTCTTTCAGAGCAGACGCTCCCGCCTGCATTGCTTTCATAAGCGCCATTTCTTTCTTCAGATTTGCTACCTCAGCTTTAAGCTTATTCACTTCCCGGTGTAGTTCCAAGTTCTCATTTACCACCATGTCCCGCTCCTGCGCCATCTGGGTCTTGGCACGTAAGGCCACATCCTTCTCAGCCTCCGCTACCATCAGCTGGTTGAGGATTGTTTCTCGTATACCTACCACCTTCTCCCACAAATGCGACAGCAGGACCAAGAAATCCACCAAGACTGTTGTGCGTTCTTTTGCTCCAAGTGCCTTACCTGATGTGGGAACACGGCCTACGGTAGTCTCAAGTAACTCTAGCAGGTCATCAGTGGATCACCCCCCCAGACCTTCCTCGTACTGGTGTTCTTTTAAAGTTGACTCTCCCACTACACTTTCCACGGCATAAATCACCTGGCGTCCTAGTGAGCCAGGGTTGGCTTCTGCTGCAGACATCTTCAATTAAAATGTCTATAGAAGAAGTATTGACAAGTAAAAGTGGTTAATGAATGAACTGTAGTTTAGTTTTATTTTATTTTCTTCTGTCAGGCCAAAACCGTTAAGTAATGCCAAAACGCCAATTGCCCTTGACCTGCCCAAAATGGCCGGTCGAGCTACGTGTCGGGCCACCTAAGATGGCGGAGTTGTGCGCATGCGCCGTCCGTCACTCGGTGTTTCCCCCTGTAGCAGAATCACGACTCTAAACACCGGAACGTTATTTAGAACCGCCGCTAACGTTACCTAAAAGTACTCCGTACCGGAAGGTTTAGCGGATTAAAGGACGCAGAATCGCTGCGTCGGAACGGCTTGAAAGCTTTGCGGGACGCGTTCCCGAGCTTCTCACCGAGAGTGGCTAGTTAGCTCTTCGGTTAATGCTAGCAAACGCCCTGGAGCGACCAGGGTCTTAAAATTGCCCGATCAACCAACGGGCATCTCGCTCAGTGGTTAAAAGGGTTTCAACAGCGTACGCAATCTGGATGCAGTATCGCTCTACGGTAATAACCCGACTTACAGCGTTTACCTAGCAAGTTAAGCTACGGTAGGTGCTAACGAGTATTCCGGCAAGGAACAGCGTGGATCAGGCGCTTATTGAACGGAAATAAATTTCCGACGGAGTCTTCCGTCTCCGATTACACAAATGGATACACACAGTGTCACAAACACCGCGACAAACAATAAACAGACGGTTCCAACGTATTAACAGGAGAAATGTTTACCCTCAACTGTAGGCCTCAAAATGGCAGTCAGCACACGTCAGCACTTAAGGTGTTTTGATGAAACAGCGCCTCCTGTCGGAGGGTGATGAATGTGCACCCCCCTTTCTGAGAAGCTGAATGAGGGAAATGCTCGCCTTTCTATTCTGAACTCACACACTGGACAAAATCCCAAAATATGTCTCAAAATCGGCACAAAGTGTAATAAACTGTGCAGATATCATGCTAGGCTCGCCATATGTGACGGAATTGAAGTGATGTAACTATCTAGAGTTGTATTTTAATACACTGTAAGTAGATCACTTTATTATAATCAGAAGAATAGGTTGTTTTTATCATCAGGGAGTTCATTTAAACACTCTGTATTGACTTTGAGACAAGAAAAGAGAGAGAGTTGGGATCGTTTGAGAATCGTTAATTTCTTAATTATAAATTCTTAAACAATCTACCAGGACTAACTCTGTGATGGATGAAAATGGATTTGGATGTTGTGTTGGTGCGTGTGTGTGTGTGTGTGTGGTTTATTCAGACTCCTTAGGCTGACGTCATTGAATCCGGTCGTCTTTGTTATGACTAGATATCACGAGGCTTATAAAGTGATGACATGAGCCGCTATTTTGCCGTGTACGTACCCAGTGGGGGGCCTCCCAGGTAGATCAGGAAATGCCAGGTCCAAGAACCTCGGATGTGTACTGGAGCTGTCGAAGCAGCGGTCGCAGCACGTCAAAGCCCATCTGAAGGGTCGACCCCTGTACCAATCGGCAGCGTCAGCAGGTGCTCTTATTTTGAAAGGATGTCATCTGGTTGTGAAACGACGAAAATCTCCAACTTCACAGTTCTTAGTTTAAAGAAGAAAACACATCTGGCCAGGCTGTGCTTTTCTTTAGGATGACGGTGAATAGAACTGAAGTCAAAATGGAACTGAGCTTAAAATGGCGTTGCCTTGTTTTATATCTCTGAATTGTTGATACGTTTTAGTAAAGCGGATTGGATACTTTAAGTCAACAAGCCAGATTCTCCTGCGGCAGCCGAAAGCTCTGATTGGTTGGAACAATGTGTCATGCGTTTCTATGGAGATGAGGATCAGTCTGTCTGTGCAATAGTCCTGTTTCCATTAAACACAAATCATGACATCTTTATTCCACAAATCATTCACTTGATTAATTATTGATCAACATATGTTTTGCTTAATTTTTTTAATCACAAATAAAGTACTTTGATTAAGTAAAAGCGTTCTTCTTCTCCTTCGGACTCTTCTCCTGGAATGTAAACAGTCTGAGGAACACCCGACCTTGGCGTTTTCAACACGGGTGTTACTGTGCACAGGGGCAGTTGTGTGGAGCTGAAAATAATGAACTTCATAACCTTACAGGGGTTTCAAACCGACACTATTGACTTTGTGGGCCAATCAGGGCCCTATATTCTTCTGGTGGGCAGGATGATGTGACGGAGTGGAACAAGATGGCGAGAGCTTGTTTAACATTTTACATCAGTTCTGGACTATCTGGACCTGGGCTTTACTAGCAGATTGATGTGTTTAAGTCTTTTATTTAGAAAAGGGATGTATTTTCACCTTCTTCAACAGCAGACTGCCTTGTTTACCTACAGCTGTTGCAGTGAGCACATCACGTTGTTCATTGTCCAGTAGCATGTGGAGATCGTTTGAAAGACAACACCCACCACATGACTGAGAGCCATCAATGGAGTGTTGCCAGACTAAATAACATATTAATATTTTAGTCTGGCTTGCCAGGCTAGGCATATACCAACATTTAATGATTACGTTCTGAAGGTTTCACTAAAATTCACCCTGGGATTTATGAGACATGAACCATCTACACACGCCTTCCATCTTCAGGGTGATTATAAAAGCATCAAACATTAAAGTTTGTTTTTGAATTACACATTTGCACACACAGCCAGAAATTGAGCAGCATTTTAACACATTTAATCTTTCTTTTCTCCCAAATATATATATTTTTTCTGTGGTATGGGATGTATATTGACCATTTGGAAAAGAAAATATATTCATGTACATAAATAGACTAACTTCTGCCTTTATGAACCCTTTTAGAAAAACTAATAGCCCATGTTAAAAGTGTTTACATCAAACATAACATAGTTTGTACTTTGGTCCAACAGGATTACAGAGTGAACATCTTCCTACGACAGCGCTGGAACGACCCCAGGCTGAAGCTGCCGCAGGACTTTAAATCAGATTCACTTACCGTTGATCCCAAAATGTTCAAATGTCTCTGGAAACCCGACCTGTTCTTTGCTAACGAGAAGAGCGCCAACTTCCATGATGTTACGCAGGAGAACATTCTCCTGTTCATCTTCCGTAATGGAGATGTTCTCATCAGCATGAGGTACTGATGGATTTATTTAATTACTGAGATTTTGATTTACTACAAACTAGATGTATTCATCACAATTGAAGCATCTTAAATGTTTGATCGATCACTAATTATTCTTATTATCTTGTTCATTCATTTATTGGTTTATTAATTTGGATTAATTTCTGCTTCATCAATCTTTTGTATCAACTTCAAAGGATAATTTTATAAATAGATATAAAAATAGTTGTAAAAATGTAAAATAGATATTATAATGTATCCTCAAATTCCACTATTTCCTTCTTTATTAAATATTTATATATATATATATATATATATTTCTTTGCTATGCAAACTAACATGTAACTCAATTCATGGTTGCAAGGGGCTCCAATGACAGCAGCATGTGTCTTATGTCTTATTAGAACAACTATAACATTGTGTTTTAAAATAATGACACTAAAAGAAAATAGTTCATAGGTCAGAAATGATCAATTCAGCAGTTCTGGTGCACTTTAAAGTTAAAGTTAAAGTCCCATTAGTTGTCACACACACAGGTGTGTGTGTGAAATTTGTTCTCTGCATTTGACCCATCCCCTGGGGGAGAGGTGAGCTGCAGACACAGCCGCGCTCGGGAACTATTTGGTGGTTTAACCCCCCAATCCAACCCCTTAATGCTGAGTGTCAAGCAGTGAGGCATTGGGTCCTATTTTTTCAAAGTCTTTGGTATGACCCGACCAGGAATCGGGGCGGACACTCTACCACTAGGCCACTGAGAAAGGTTTTTATTGTCTGGTTTTAAATTCAAAGGCAGTTTCCTCAAGTTAAAGAGAAAAATAATCTGAAATAATGCAATTCCTGTGATTACCAATCAGTTGTAGAGTTTTTATTTTTCACTTTTTTTATATTTTAATTTCATTTAATTTTAGTGTGCAGTGTTATAAGAAAGTCTTCTTTCCTTAGATTTTTTTGTCAATTCTTGAAGCTGCAAGTCAGAAAAATCACATATAATTAAACTGTGGATAACTTTGAACACAACTGTTTTAAGCAACCACGTTCTGTAACATGTTAACAATAAGAAAGTCACACATGAAGCCGTTTATTTTTTTGTGCTTTATTTATTTTCCTTCAGATTGTCCATCACACTTTCTTGCCCTCTGGATCTCACCTTGTTTCCAATGGACACACAGAGGTGTAAAATGCAACTTGAAAGCTGTAAGTTGTTTCTTTTAAAGAAGAAGCCATTATAATCTCCAATTATTAACTTGTTATTATGTACAGTAGTTTGGGTGTAAAAAGATAACTTACTGCTCACATCAAGCTGACTGTTTTAGAGCCTTGCAACTAATTATTGTTTGTTGTTTACTAAACCATTACCAGCTAATGCTAAATCAGGCTCACAAGATGCACAGTTTCTGGACTTTTCAAGTGTTCTGAAAATACATTGAACACTTTTTTTTTCTGTGTACGATGTGTTTTAATACAAATGTGACAGTCCTGTATTCTTTACACTTTTGTTTTTAGTTGGCTACACAACAGATGACCTGCAGTTCATGTGGCAGACAGGAGACCCTGTGCAAATGGACGCTATCGCTCTTCCACAGTTTGACATCAGACAAGAAGACATTGATTACGGAAACTGCACTAAGTTCTATGAAGGAACAGGTAACGTCAGTAACAACAGTCAGATGCATACATTGCCATTTGGACAAACACACACACGAAAGCATAAAGACAGTTAGAGCCTCACAAGTGAGGGTTCCTCTCCTAAACAAATGTGAACGGGCCTCTGAACTAAATGAAACTATTTATTTACAAAGATGAAACCTGAAGAGGATCCCTTGCCTATTAAGATGTCAGTTGCTTTAGCAGAAGGAAGTTTATTTACCAATTCAAAGGGTGTAAAATTTTAGAGGGCAAAATTAGGTTTAGTGGTACTAAGTTTCTGAGCTGTAGAAGTCATGTAGGCGGTGTGCTGTTTGGTCTTTTAGACAAGACATGTTTTCAGAAAGATTTACTCAATCTGCTTTACTTTACTTAGAGATTTTTGGCTTTGAAGAGCTAAGAACAGTATCTTTCCTTTGCCATTTCAACTGATCTGACAAGGCAGCTTATTATTTAAAGTGTTTTGAGAGTCGTAGTTCCCTTTACTCAGTTCAAATCTAAAATAGCTATGAAACAAATCTCCATCTGAAAGGAGATTGGCTGTAAACTAATAATGTTATTTGATATGTCAGATCTGCAAAAAGGTATCAAGATGACCAATGCTACAGTCTCCTACATTTTATGCCACTGGTATCAAGTAAATGCAGGAAAAGAAGCCATTACTGGTCATGCTCTATTAGTGTTATGAAGTGGTGTAGGAAATGGAATAAAGAGAGTGTACTAAGTGTTTCAGGCACAGTAACACATTCATTTAATTTCCCTTTAATTAAACGCAGATCCCTTTAAGGTTTAGCAAATGAGTTGGGTGCTTTTGCCATGCTAAAAGATTAATTAAAAAAATTAAAATAAATAATTACTGCATCATTATATTGGTTTTTGTATTCTTATTGAAGAAAGAAGAAACTGCCAAAGACTGCACAATGTTAACTAAACTAAAACCATTATTACAAATAAAAGAAAGAAAACAAACAAAAATCCTGGTTTAATGTCACATTTTCAGCCTTTATGGGTGCAAACTAACATTCGTGATGAATGAAAAATATTCTGTCAGCCTGCAGAACTGCTGTGATCTCACTGCTCTAATGCTTCAACAGCACACAGCTCATGAGTCAGGCTTTTAACTGGTTTCCATGGCTACCTGGCCAGACACAGAGATCATCTCTGTTCTAAACTGGTTTGAGCTTGCTTCATGACACAGGCAGCCCTTCTTTCCTAAATAAAAGCTTCAGAGATCTCAGGGTTCATTAAATATTGCCTCAGTCCATCCACTGGAGCATCCTGTTGAAACACAGCTCAGAGCAGCAACACTCCTTTAAAGATACATGCAAGGTTCATGGCTGTCTATTTAATACCTTTCATTTAGGGCGGTTGAAAATGTTACTTGAATTGGACTGCTACTTACCATACAATAAAGAAAGTATGGAGGTTTCTTTCCATAAATAATGTATATTAAAGCTCAGTTAAGGTTTTTAAGTCTCCTAGCCTGGCAAGCCATCCTATATATGTGGATTTATAGTTTGGCCACGGTTCATTGATGGCTCTCAGTTGTGGGGCGGGATCTACGGCTGTCTTTCAAACTGTGTCCACATGCAATTCGATAACAAACACATAAAATACTTAGCGCTATAGACATGGGTGGACTGGCCTATCTGGCATTCTGGCAGTGTCCCAGTGGGCCGCTTATTCAAGTGGGCTGCTTGCCCAGCTTGGGCCGACACTACTCCACAGTTGGTGATCTGCAGAACATTAGCTACATGGTAACCCGAAGCTAACAGAGATTTTGCAGGCATTTTTAGCAAGAAAAATGTGGAAGAGCGATAACGTAGGAGTTGTTTTACCACGTTAGCATGTAGCTAATGTCCCGCTGATCTCCGCCTGTGGAGAATGAGCTGATCTGGAAGGCCAGGGCTCCCGGTCGCAGCGGTCTGGCTCTGCTTGTAGTTTGAGTCCCAGTCCATATTAGATCTCGCATTCGGCCTAGAGCAACACCCCCCACCCCCACCGCTCTCCCAATGGGGAGGGCCGACTGAGGGCCGACGATTCATAGAAATGCCAGGGCTGAATTTTGGTCTCAGTCCAGCCCTGGCCATGGATGTAAGTCAACGGGTCAGTCCGCCATACATCGCTGAAGAAGAAGCAAATACATTCTTCTTCTAAATCTCTTTCCTCTATCTGCTCTTTTCTCTTTATTTTGTTGGTTTGGCTAGCTTCATTTTCCTTTGTCCTTGTGGTAAAAGAGGCAGATTAAATAAAAGATGTAACCTTGCAGCTACCATCTTTCTAATGATGACTGAATCTACAGGCTTCGGTTTCTTCATCCTTTTATGTTTCAGCTTCAAAGGCTTGGACCAAACACGTCCAAAATAGGTAGTTTCAGAGATATTCTGAAATCGCCATACAGCTGTGCTCGTAGAGGATTCTAAACAGAACCTTTTGCTTTGACCTCTATTATTTTGTTTCTTGTGTAGATTCTTCACCGTGCTCTAACTCGTCTAACTTGTAGATTATTTAAAAAAAGAATTACTATCTGTGATTAACATTGTCATCATGATATTTTAGGATTGTTTTCTTTCTCCCATAGGGTATTACACTTGTGTGGAGGTCATCTTTACCCTACGGCGACAAGTTGGCTTCTACATGATGGGTGTTTATGCCCCCACGCTGCTTATAGTAGTCCTTTCCTGGCTGTCCTTCTGGATCAACCCTGATGCGAGTGCTGCCAGAGTTCCTTTGGGTATGGATTATTTCAACAATTCCTCCATGTACCACTGATGTTTACTAGTATAGAAAATCTATTTTAAAAAATGACAATCTCTTCCATCTTGGAAGTAAAATGAAGTGAGTACTATAGTGAAGTAAACAGATCTAAGAGGATTTATGACATGAATGGAAAAAGACCAGAAAGAACAAAAACATTGTTTTTAAAAGTTAGATTTTCAGGATCACCGACATTGTTGCTTCAGTCATTTTCATTATGGCAGCATCAATCACTTTGACACCATGAATGATTTTGTCAGTGAGCCATGGTGCAGTGGTCAATATTTTTGGATATGTGATAAATCACAACACCTATCTGTAATGGACAGATGGGACCCTCTACACTGGAGTGATGCACTCATATAATGTAGGACGAAAAAAAAATACAAGGTGTGCCAGGAATTTAAAATATTCATTCATGTGTACAGTACACTGTTTTAGTTTTTCTGTTAAAAAATCAGTATAAAGGAATTGGGAATGTCCTTTTTAGCAAGTGGGTATCTGAAAAAAAATGACAAATTGCAGCAAAGGTCTCCCTTTCATTCACTGGTAATCTATAAAATTGCAGGTGTTTAGGCAACTGAGCAGAGATAGACACATAGCCACCACTGTTGTTCAAAAGCACTTTATAAATAATGTTGGAAATTGGTTCAGGTTTATGTTTAATAATAAAGTTGAGTCTTTCTCATCTGCAGATGTGCAAATACAAAAAAATAAAGGGAATTGTGATTTTCAACAAGACAGCAATAATTTGCACTGAATTGCTAGTTTCAATAAATTGTACTTGGTTTATTCTTGTGTTGTGAATTATCAGTATTCTATCTGCAGTTATTTTCTTTTTAGACAATCAGAAACACTGATGAGAGTTTCAAGCTAACAGCTACATACAGTGTGTGGAGTTTACGTGGCAGGATGATCAAGGTTGTCCACGATTACCATGAAGGCTTTAAAGACAATCTTATCAGATAATCCTACCTTTTGATGTGTGGTACGAGCACTCTAGGCCACTCTGATGACTGTCAGGACCACTCTGATCAAAAATCTGGGATTTTGAACACGTTGGATTCTTTTGGTCTAAATCCAAAGACAAATGAATGTGCCCCCTGACGTCTAGCCAGTCAAAAAGTGAGGGGATGGAAGCTTGCAGCACGCTCTTTCTCCACTATGTTTGCTTATTTTAAAGTCCAGTTTCAGAGATTTCCTGTCTGAGCAGGGAATGTCTGTCAGTGAAAGCAGGTCATGTGTAATGTGTAGTTTAGCTGTGATGCTGCACTCCACTTGTTGTATGACCAAAACCGGTATATTGATCATTTTGTTTTATTTGTTACTTGTGTCATGCTTCGGAAATCTGCCTACTGTTTAAAAATCCCTGCTCTGTGAACCGAGCTTTAGGAAAAGGCCCTTTCAGGAGTAAATGTACAACACTCGAAACGAACCTTCCCTGACAATTGAACTGAACATACATTTCTTATTTAGCCTTCATCTAAACAATAATGGCTATTATGTGTATTTATTTTCATAATGACTGCCAATTGCAGCAACTGTAAAACTTCATATGGACTTTTTGGTTAGTATTAAAGTGAAAACAGCATACCTTTGGGGGTAAAAAAAAAAGAGCATTTTGTGTGAGCCTCGTACATCACATAGGAAGAAGAGAAGAGTTCATTTGTGAAAACAAATGAAGCACAAAGGAGGCACATTAAGAAGAATTTGAAGCACCCATGCCATGTCTAAATAAAAAAAGCAACTTTAAAAGGATCTTTTTACACATTATATTCTAAATAACTGCTTAATTTGAACTAAAAAGTATCAGTGCAGACTAATTTCTAAAACACAGAATATTACACTAGTGTGAATTTTTCATGTCTATTAGTGCATATTTTACAGACATTTATACAAAAACATTCCTGCATTTTCTGCATTAAAGACATAACTGTGCAAACAGAAAAAAGGCCCGCCTCCACCTAATGCCCTCTCCTTCCATGCAACCAGTGTGTAATATGTCAGTGTCATCCACATACAGTATCATGCAGTTACCTCTGTGTGTGTGTGTGTGTGTGTGTGTGTGTGTGTGTGTGTGTGTGTGTGTGTGTGTGTGTGTGCACGTGCATGCAGGACTGCATGGATAAGATACTCCATTGCCATCCCATCTCCATCATCCACCACCTCCTTTTCACCTCAGTCGTCGCTCCAACTTACCAGCTCTTTCATTCCATCATCACTCCAAATCCTCCTGGAAGCCTCCTCTGACTTCCCTCTAAATGAGGTCAGCTCAGGTCAGTATGGTTTGTGTGTTTCAACATCGCTTATTGTCTCTTTAGGTGTGTGTTGAAGCATCTATGTGTTCATTTTGAGTGTTTGTGCATAAGGATTTATTTGTTAACTTTTTGTTTTTCATTTAGTGTTTGGCAAATGTGACCTTTGGCACAAATCAGAGAACCTTCATGCCGTTACATCTTAATTAAAAAGAACAAACAGCTATTTTTGTGTCCCCATCGTTTTTGTTTTTCCTAGAAAAGAAAGTGAATCTTTAAGAGAATCTTTGATTAGTAATCATTAAGTGTTAAAATCCTTTCTTAGAAGTGTGACCTTACTTAAGCATGCAGGCAAAAACTCTCACTTCAAAGGCGTTGCTATTTCTAGCAGGAAATATAACTGAAGGGCCTACAAACTGTGCTTCATTAGTGTTGAAATATTGTGGAATGAAGGTTCTTATTACTTTGTTTTCACCTTGGCCTGAAAGAATTATCTGTTTGTGCAGGAAAAAAATCTCTTAACTCCCAATCATGTAAGTTATTAAATATAAACACTATTTAATTTTTATTTCATTAGAGGCTTTTGGAGCTCTTTAAGAGTCAACCATGAATCAGGAGTCTAGTTATTTTCCTAAGAACAGTTTGTTAACATTTTACTACTGAAGGCCATGTATCTGTGTTTTGTACACTGGAGATAAAATAGATAATTTGCCCCTCACAGTGCAATTTCTATTGTTTATTTTATTATTTTTTGTTGAATTCCTTGGAATTTTTTTTATCAAATATTTATTTTTATAAGTCTTAAAAACAACAATGAAAATGGACAAATTTAGCCCAGATATTTGTTAGAAATGATTGTTAATATTTAAGCACTGAAGTATCAGAGTTATATCAAACGTCCATGCTCTTTCTGTATTGATGATGTTATATCATTTCTCCCTCCATACAGGAATCCTCTCAGTGCTCTCCCTGTCCTCCGAGTGCACCTCCTTAGCTTCAGAGCTGCCCAAAGTGTCCTACGTCAAAGCCATAGATATCTGGCTAATTGCTTGCCTGCTGTTTGGTTTTGCCTCTCTGGTGGAGTATGCCGTGGTTCAAGTAATGCTAAACAGCCCAAAGCACATTGAGGCAGAGAAGGCCAGGATAGCATCCAAGGAGAAGGCTGCAGGAAAAAGCCCCACTGCCCGGAACAACACCGTCAACGGGACTGGAGGGACCCCACTTCATGTCAGCACCCTGCATGTCAGTGAACTTGCTTTGAAAACTTGTGTGTGTGTGTGTGTGTGTGTGTGTGTGTGTTAGGTAACAGTAGTTTCCGCCATAATTGTTTTTGCGTTAAAGCGCATCACTTTCATCAGACTTTCATAGTTAGTAACATTTGTTCATTTTACTTAAAATTATAGTCATGATAGCAACAGCATCTACAATTCTTTAAAAGAAGTATTTTCTCCCATACATATTGCTTAAACATGAAATTAACTTTCAATATCTCTGAAAAATTCAATCTGAATACATGCAAATTAAAGTTTTCAAATGATTAATTTATTAGGGGTAAACCTCTATCCAAATGATGGTGTCGTAAAAAATATGATTGCCGTCATAAGTTTAAAAACTGGTTGTATCACCACTGCTAGCAACAAATACAGGGAAGTGTTTGTTCAGTCAGGAAATTTGGTTCTCAATAATAATAATAATAATAATAATAATAATAATAATGATAATAACAACAATAATAATAATAACAATAATAATACCCAGTAAGACCCAAACGCATAGTGAGAGTCTGCTGGGAACGCCTGGCAGAAGAACCTGTTAAGACGGTCTTCAACTCCCACCTCCGGCAGAACTTTGACCGCGTCCCGAGAGCAGTGGGGGGACATCGACTCCGAGTGGGCCTTGTTCCACTCTGCGATTGTTGAGGCGGCTGTTGCTAGCTGTGGTCACAAGGTGGCCGGTGCTAGTCGTGGTGGCAACCTCCGTACCCGCTGGTGGACACCCGAGGTTCAGGGAGCCGTCAGGCTGAAGAAGGAGGCCTACAGGGCGTGGCTGGTCTGTGGGTCTCCGGAGGCAGCGGATGGGTACCGGATAGCCAAGCGGGGTGCAGCAGTGGTATTTGCCGAGGCAAAATCTCGGGCGTGGGAGGAGTTTGGTGAGGCCATGGAGAAGCCATTAGCATTAGCAACTTTACATCCTCCAGGTTTGTGTCATTTGTGGAGATAAAACATCTGTGTTGCAAAGCAAATAGAATCAGTGGTAGAGTCGCGTTGCTGTTGTCCAATTTGAGGCAAGATGTCATTAGGTAAGACTCCAAATCCTGCCATGTTATGCCACTCTGCAGCGGCAGACTTGTCTGTGCTGGTCCAGGTGCTTCTGCACAAATATAAATGCAGATTTGAACAATATGTCTTTAAAATTAATATTTTGTGTAATGGAAACACAGATTTGCTTCAGCAGAGTCCACATCTGACACCTTTGTCCAGTTCATCAGGAATGCTTTGCTCTAATCATGTCCCTAATTGAGATCAATTTTCTCCTGAGTCTGTGTTTGTCCAAAGCCCATTTGGGTTCACCCCACTGAGGTGTAAATGGGTTTTATTGTCAAAACCAAATCAAATAATGAAGCTTGAAGGATCCTAATGACTTCACTGAGTGAGCATCCATAGTCTGATTAGAACATGCCCACCCAGCAGGCTGTTGGTGAAGTCGATGAAAGGAATTTTCCAGATGACCTCAGCCTAAACCTGCCATAAGATCGTGTGCTACAGAGCAGGCTGGGTGGTACTCAGAGGGGTCACATGACCCCCTCAGAAGAGAGAACACCCGTATTTGGCAACTCTGTTGAGAACATAGAAAGTCTAATTTTGTCTCCAGAAGTCTTTGTTCCTTTAAAAAAGCAGGAGGTGATTTATCACTTTGAATTCTGTCCAAACATCAGGTTTAAACAGCCCTTTTAGAGTTTTACTAAAGTCTTGTTCATTTAAAGACAAGAATTGTCCTAAGAATTCTAATTTAAATGTCTCTGCCTCTTTATACAAAATCCTACAATCACAATATTACATGCTCTCATATAACTTGAGTATTCACATTTAATCATGTAACGAAGCATTGAGATTTCTTTTTTCCACCAAATAATAAGAAAACAGGCAACATGCGAGGAGTCCCTACATAAGAATGTTTGTAATACCTGCAACTTGACTGATTAGAGACATTGTTGTCATTTTTAAAGGGGAGCAAGACAGCATATCATAGATCTGACTCATTTCTACAAAGCCAGGGTTATTATGTTACCCTTTAAGATAAATCCAGCAAGAGCCCAACACAGCACAACACATAATGTGTTGGATAGCTTGAACTGCAACAAATAATTGGCTACTAAATTCATAGTGAGTAGCAGGAAGTGCCATGCATAATATTTGGCCAATTCAAAGGACTCTCACTTCCTTTGATGGCCAAACCCCATTTAGATGAAGATGAATGAGATGTTAAAGTACAAGAAGGATGTTGTGAGCATTCTGATTATGGAAGACAAAGTCAGGAATGATGAAATCAAAATCAAATGAGAAAATGTGAGAATACTGAAATCATGATTTGTAAGTCATTCAAAGAATTGAACTTTAGTTTATAGAAAAACAGACTCTAAGTTTTCTTAAAATATTATTTCAACAGTAAATTTAAGCTAATCCAATATTCAAAATGCTCTGTCCACAAATGTATGCTTTACACAATGAACTTTGTATTAAAGATAACATTGCAAATTAGTATGGAATTCAGAAATTAGGTTGTGATGGTTGAGAATAACGGGCTGCAGAAAGCATTGTGCCAAAGCAGTGTGTTCGCTGTGAGTGTGTGTGCGCATGCCAAAGAAGCCCTGTCAGCGAAGGCTGGCACCATCTGTTGTGGTCCTATCTCCTTATAGCATCTATAGATTACATTTCTTCATGTCTGTTGAAGGCACAGCTGTGCTCAGAGAGGAATCCGAAGATAATAATTGTTGTTCCAACTCCACAAATCAGCATAAATAGTTATTTTCCATTTGCAAACAAATTATTTAGGATTTTTTTTTTTGCTAGAGTGTCATCTTTTGCTAGATTGAAGAGGCAGACTGCATGTACATTACCACAAACAATTCATCTTTTATGCCAAGAAAGACATTTGAAAGATTTTTGTTCCGATTTAATATGACAAATATATCAGATGTAGTCAGTAAATTGCAAAAGACAAAGTCTAAGGAAGAGTAGGGAAACATTAAACAGCTCTGCAGAAACTTCAAAGCCCAAACCTTGAATGTTAAACTCAGAAGCACACGTGAGAAAAGCTGCACTATAAGATGACAAACATTAAAACGGGTTGCAGGTGTGCAGGAGTTGGTGGGGCTCAGGTGACGAGCAGCGAGGAAAATATTAATTTCGACTTCTGAACAAGTAGAGTGGCAGATTGTGCTGAAGGAGCAGAGGTTAATGGCAGGCAGCCATGAGGAGAGAATGTGCAGAAGGAGTTAATCTCTAACTGCAGATGGGTTAACTCAACTGTGCACTAGCTTTAAAATGCCCCATTGGGTAACAGGGCAACACTTTTATTCAAGCACACAGTTTTGCTAGATTTATGTCTAACATAAGGCAGCTTGTATGGTAAATTTGAAATTAATTAAATTTTGATCACTGATAATTAGCTACAAAAAGTAATTTACTCAAGCATTTTTACATAACTTCAGTTTGACCTCAGAAGCTGCAATTCTTTGCTTATGAGTCTTAAGCAAACTTTGTTTTTCATAAAAAAAAATACAGCTCTATTGTAGTAATCTCCTCTTTCTGGTTCTCAGGTTGCTGAGACCCGCTGCAAGAAGGTCTGCACATCCAAATCAGACCTGAGGACCAATGACTTCAGCATTGTGGGCTCTCTCCCACGAGACTTTGAACTGTCAAACTTTGACTGCTATGGCAAGCCCATTGAGACCGGCGCTGGTTTTGGGAAATCCACGGTAAAGAACAAGAAACCACCTCCCCCAAAACCAGTCATCCCCTCGGCCGCCAAAAGAGTCGATCTGTACTCCAGAGCCCTCTTCCCGTTCTCTTTCCTCTTCTTTAATGTGATTTACTGGTCCATATACTTGTGATTATCCTGCGTTATTACCTCTCCTCTCCCATTATGTGAATTCCAACTGATCAGACTTTGGTTTTAAAGTTGGCGAAGAGGGATGTGACCTTTACAGTTTCTCCAGAGAAAAGAATTAAAATACTATGTGTTCTTCCTTCAATAAAAACAATCTATTTATATTTTAAAAAGAACTTTATTGATGTTCATATTTCCTAAAATATAATAAATCGTATCTTATGTTGAAATTATTTATCAAAAGTGGTTCTTAAGAGAGATGAACAGGATTGCTTTAAAAAATGTGAATGACTGAGATGTAAACAAATCCACAAAGATTTTATGTAAAGAGCAAAGCTATAGATGCACATATACTAAAAAAAAATCATATAGCTGTTATTATGTTTTTCATTTGCCCTGCTCAGTTGCTGTTTGATTTAAACTTTAAATCTTTAAGTGTTAGCTTCATTGCAAAGCTATACATTGTAATTGCCTAGCATGTTGAAAATACTGCATGTATTTAAAGATTTAAATGTACATAAAATATTTATGAAATACTACTGTTCTTATGCTTTGCTCTTGATGAGATAAGTGGATGAGTAAAAGTGTCCTCTTCCTGTCCGGATGGTTATGTAACACTGCCACTTCTCCCACCAGTATCGACATTTCCTACCTGTATCCTGTGCGTATGGGTCACCACTGAGCTGTGACCACGTATTTGTGATATTTACAAAGAAAATCAAAAATCAAATGACTTTTCACCATTTGATGTTAATAAAAACTAGACTCAGACACTTCAGAGTAGATGTCCTGTTTTATTGTGATAAAGTGAGTTTTATTTACGGTGCTTGTGATTCAGACTCAGTACCAAAGTTTCAGCTTCATGTTCAACTTGTTTCTTTTTGTTCTGTCCTGTATGTCGCCACGTGTCACAATAGTTACTTAACCTCTAACAGGCCGCAAAATCAGCCACCGCTTGTTCACATAAAGCTGCTTTAATGACCCTGTGATTATCATTAAGAGTCTTCAAATGTGAAACACATTTCTTGATCTCAGCATGATATTAAATTCATAACAAACAAAGCGATAAGTCAATGATCAATTAGTGATGAGAGCAAAGCTGCCGATAATGGGATTTCTTTATGTCTTATTTGTTGGTTTAAAGTGTGAAAACAAGGCTCATTGCTTCTGCTGTTGCTGCCATGGTTACAGACACTGCAGCGAGTTTTTGTCTGACACTCCAATAATCGCCCCACGACACGGAGTCGAAGCCAAACGACAGCAAGACTGAGTTAGAGAAAGCCTCTTCAGTCAAATATGAAGCACGAGTCATCAACGGAGGTATAAGTTCTGCAAATCATAACAAACAAATAACTTGGTGGGTATTTTTGGCTGATCTGAGCACTCATTTCAGCCCTTATTCAATCCTAAGTAACAGAGTTTGCATTGCAGTGCCGCCTAATGGCAATATTTATATTAGAATGAGGAGTAAAAAAAAAACATTCTCCTTGGAGATGATGCAAGTTCTGCAAAGATTGTCTACTGAAGTGGCACTAGATAGGTGGAGCTCTCCTTTATACCAAAATGCAAGTTTACAGAATAAATCTCACTGTCAAACCTGCATTTAAAGCAAATATGTGAAAACCATTTACAATGATGAGGTGTTACGTTTTAATTTGATATAAAACTGGCAAAACGCACAAACTAATGAGCCACAAGTGATGAAAAGAAACAATATTAAAATATTTAATGAATGAATCAGAAACAAATGGACAGTGGACGTCTCAAACGTAGTCCTTGTCACATGTGTGACTCATGCATCCATGCAAGAATCGGTTGTGCGTGTGTGTGTGCCTGCGCGCATGTGTGTTTGTGAGTGTGTAAGCTCCACCCACACACCCCCAGCACCCTGCTAGTACCACAGTGCAGTAACCTTTATCAAACAGGGTCCTTTCTAATCCAACAAGACTTCTCACCAGGCTTCCACCCCACCCACAAAGACAACCACAGTGGAGGCGATGATTAGCAGAGCCGCAGTGGGGGGAGGGTAGGTCACAGGACTTATTGGAGGCTCATTTATGGCGAACAAGGTCTCAGCACATCAGTGTTGTGCTTTTAGAGGAGAGGACAGAGTCTGTTGAGTGTTTGGAGAGACAGAAAATAACAGTGTTGTGTCTGGTGTTTGCATCAAACTGTTTATTAAAAATATCTTCAGCTCTGTTGGGTTGTTTTGCCTGGATCATGAAAGTTTAAATAATTGAACAGATTTAGTTTTGAGATCAAACATGTGGCATTGCATAAGTACAGTAAAAGTCCAAAGAGGTCCTTTAGTGAGAAACCATTTTTACTTATTATTTTTGAAACTGATTGGTCACTCTGAGTTTAATATGCAGAGTGAAAATAGTCTCCTACAACCGGTTCCTGCATTAGCTTCTGATAGAAGATAGGAGACACATTAGGATTTGAAAAGCTTGCTAGATCTATTTCACACTGTCACTTAGCATTCACGGACTCACCCATCTTGACTCACGACGTAAGGCTGTTGTTGGTAAGACAGAGCTCTGGGTCAACCAACCTGTGCAGCTGTCTGGCTTCTGTGCAATGCTGTAGTTGTGCTGGTCGCCTGTGGAGCTATAATACGGACCGCTGCAATCGGATCCGGGCGCCCTGGCTGCTTGCGTCAGCTCATGCTCTGCTCCTCCACCAAGGTCATATATAACTTTAGCGACATTAGCTACATGCTAAAAGTGAAGGTTTGCAGGTGTTTTTAGTGAGGAAAATCGTGGTTGAGTGACTTCAGTGAAGGCACTTCCAGCTGGGAGACAAGGGAAGCCGGGCGCCTGCCTCGCTGGGCTGTCTTCGAATGAATGGAGTGGAAGATTCACAGAAATGTGAGCGCAGGCCCCCGCTGTTAAAGGGAAAGACAGTACCAAAACCCGGCTAACCTCTCTTGTGCAAAGGCGACCTCGCAGAACTTTGACTGTGGCGGACCAGCGAAGCCCAAAAGCCTCCACTATCCTCGGTCAGCTTACCTTGCTCTAATTTCGTTACCCAGCAGCCACACCAACACGTTATATTTCAACACATCTTCGACTTAGCAGTGTTATGATAAATGCATGCAAATGCACAGAATTCCCCCCCATTCATCTAATAAAGTACAGATATACAAATTTACTACTCATCAGCGTAACCCAATGAAGACACAAATAGGTGTTGAAACGTTAGTCCTTTTTTGTGCTTGTACTTATTAAATATTTTTGTTACTTTGAGTGCTCCAGCCTTCTTTTTGCTTTTTTCCACGTTATTGTTCTTTGCTGTGGAGCACCAACTGGTGACTGGATTATGCTCAGAGGATCTCAGAAGTGAATACAAATGTATTTACTCTTAAAAGTGAAGCAGAGCCTTTTTGAATGATCTCTTAGTGCAGTCAATACCCACTTGCTTGCCCACTTTGTCCAAATGATTCCATGATAAACATCCAAACTCGAGTACACAGAGGACACAACTTAAGGTTAGAGTTAAAATGACTGAACATAAATTAACACGATTCCCAGGCTGAGGCCTACCCTGGAGCTAGATGCTAGCACTAGTCCTGATGTGGCTCTAATGCTCATGCTACCTGTCAGTCCAATTATTCGTAATTGAAACACGTAAACTAAAGATTTGCAAAATAATTCACCTCCTCGGAGTTGTAATGAATGTAAACTGGATCTAAAATGCTTCTTTGAACCAGGCTATAAACATGTTTATTTCTGCTGTGAATTTGCCATTTTTAACATGGGAGTCACTGAAGATTTGCTCACTTCCGGTGCCAGCCCCTAGCGGATGAGAGTGGAACTACAATTTTGGCACTTCCATGTAAGGTTGCAAGGATTAACTGGTTTGATTATTAACCACCGTGTGAAACTCTACGGCTAACTCACTGTAAAGACGTCTCCAACACTGCAAAAAAATAAAAATAATAACAACAATTAGCAGACCAAAGCGAAAGTGAAGCAACCAACGCAGCAGAACCAGCATCAACAACCACTGGGACTGTTCCGTTTCCACCGAGGAAGTGCTTCAAGTCTCCTGTGAGGGAATATTTTAGACTCCCAAAACTGCTAAAAGAGAATTTCAGAACGATATCTCGTACATCTGCAGACCTGGCACAAAATAAGTTGCAACACTCCCAACTTGTTATCATCTCTGAGATTATCTCGCAGACAGATTAGCTCCAACTGAGTCAGATTACGTTAGTGACTGAACAAATTTAACGGTATTAATAGAACAAGAGGTTAAATTGGAAAAAAGCTTAGTTCCAGTCAGACTGGAATAATCTGAAACACCCCCATGACAAGTGGACCTCATGACTGAAGTTGGTTTAATCCCAAGTAGATAGGCGACCAAGAGAAAAAAGTGAATAATGCTAATGTGAAATATCAAAGAGACAGAGAAGCTTATTGTGTGTGAAATCAGAGGAAACAGACTGGAAAATATGAATCATTTAACATTGAGTTACATTATTTTCTTATCAGTTGTAATAACAACGTAAATGTGCACAGCCATTTTTGTCTATTTTGAATATGGGGCTGAAGCTAATCCCAGTTAACAGGAAGAAAGTGAGGTGGGCAAACACCCAATTTATTGTGCAATTCACATCTAAAGTCAGTTTCAAGTAACCAACAGGCATGGCTCTGGACTATATGAAACTATTAAAAAAAAAACAATCCAATACGAAGTTTATCCAAAAGGAGATTTTACCTGGAGGAATTATTGTCCTTAAGTAGCATTCCAGCTGAGATACCAGCAAGCCTCATTAACTTAGCAGGTATATATGTGTAATATTTTAGTACCTTATGATAGAAGGAGGTCTAAATGAAAAAATAAATAAATAAATAGATAAATAATAAATAAATGAAACACCAACAAAAACCTGTTAGTGATGGGCAAAAAATAAATAAATAAATAAATAAATAAATAAATAAATAAAACCAACAAATTTAGCAGGAGAATGTTGCAGCAGAAGGTGTGCCTCGGGGAAGTAATTTGGCCAGATCGACCGAGGGGTGAATGGACAACAAAGGTTATGTACATTTGTTGGTGCATTGGTATGCAGCTGCAATGACTGTCAACAACCAAACGTTTATCAAAGGGCAGGGGCGTCGGACTGGGGGGGGAAAGGGTACCGTTTACCCAGGGCCCACTGCAGGGAGGGGCCCTGAGACAGCTTTGAATAAAAATGTTTTATTGTTGTTGTTTTTTCCCCCCAACTTACTTAATGTCTTAATAAACGTCTCTTTACCTGGATAAAGAGGTTAAGAAACAGAATTTCGCCTTAAAAATAATAACTGAATAATCTCTGAGGCATCTATCACCCCTTAAAAATGTGCAAAGTGGTTTAGTCCACACCAGCGGCCAGGGGCTGCACGGCCGCATGTACAGCTATGAGACATCGCAGATGCCGACAGCCAGAGCTGGACTGGCTGGAGGCAGGAGAGTCAGTTATGTCTTTTCCCAAGAAAGGGAAATCTGGCTTCCAGAAAAGAAAAGAAAAGAAGGAGAAGGAGAAAAAGTTAATTGAACAGAAGCAAGTATTGACTAGGTTCTTCAAGAAGGAAGGTGAGCAGCAGAACACAGTTTTAGCTGATATTAGCTAGCTCTCAGAAGCTGCATTCATGTTAGGTGTTCAGTGTTCATTTTTGGGAGCTTATGATAGACATTGTCCTCTAAAATATCATAAGCAATCTTAAAAAAAAGGTCCCCACCCTGGATTGTTAGGGGATTGGAAAGGGCTTGCCAGAAAAAGAAAT